TCTTAACAGTGTCTTCGCCCAGCAGATGTTTTCAGCGTCAGTGAAACCACATCCAGTTTTCTCTTTCAAAGCTCATGTGCGTTTGGTGCCTGTCTAAAAAACTTACTTTAAAACTAACAATAGTAATTTCTAGAATTAAATGCATTCTTTTTATAAAAAAATTAAAAAATAAAATAAAATAAAAAACTTACGCCACATCCAGGGTCACACAGGTTTTTTTTCTCCTGCGTTCACTCGTAGAAATTTTCTGTTATTATCATGATTTTGTATTTAGCTCTCCGGTGTGTTTTGAATTAGTGCTTGCAAAAGTGTAAGGCTGGTGTTTAGATTTTCTTTTTTTCTTTTTTCTTTTTCCGGTGGGGCCCAGCTGCTGCAGTGCCATGTGGCTGCGTCTGTCCTCGTGGAGTCACCTTCTCTTGGGGCCACACGGTCCTGCCAGTGCTGTAGGGTGGCCACGGGGCTGCTTTGCCGGGGGTGGTCCTGCCCCGGCAGGATGACCCCGCAGCTGGGGGGCTCAGCGTCGGCTCCACCCGGGAGTCTGTCTGAACAGCGTTAACCAGAGAGTGTGGGAACGGCGCCTTGTCGGAACGACTGGGCTTTGCTGGAGCCGCCTGCACCCCCCGGGGTTTGGGTCCCCCCAGGACAGGAGTGTTGGCCACGGGGCCCCCTCACCGTCCCTCCCGGCTGGCACCCGCAGGTCCTGGGGGGATGCAGATTTGTCTGTGCCCAGGATGGAGAAAGGGTGTCGGCGCCCGGGGAGCCCTGCACACAGGCCCGGCCGGCGCCGTGGTTGCCACGGCACTAGCCGCCTCCGTGGGGCTGCGGTGGTTCCTCTCAGTGGGTCCCAGCACCTGCAAACTGGCTGTTTCCCTCCCACTGTGCCAGGACAGCCAGGGGGTCCAGACGGGCTGCGGAGCGTCCTTAGCAGAGGGTGGGGGTGGCAGGAAGGAGGTTGCAGACCCCGAGTCTCTCGGGCCCCTCCGACGCCCTCCTAGGCTTGTCCAGCCGTCCTGCCTAGCGCTGCCCAGCCTGGGTTGGTGTGGGGCTGCAGGAAGTAAGGGCTGTGGGTCACGCAGGGCCACGGGGAAAGGGGCACAGGGCTCGCCTGGGCGCTAGGGCTGCCCGTGGAGCCGGAAGTTTCCAGACTCAGAGCCACGTGCCTGGCCCGCCTGGTGCTCAGCACCGTGTGGAGTGCGTGGAGTGCGTGGAGCTGCCACACCCACCAGACCCTCCCGGGGACCTGGCGGGCAGATGGATCGCTCACCCTGTTACTCTCCTGTCCCAGCAGGGAAACTGAGGCTCAGAGAGTGTGGCTGCCTGGTCCTGGCCGGATGGAGCCGGCTGTCCCTGGAGGCCAGGCTAGGGTTGTGCAGGGAGAGGAGGTAGCTCTGGGGGCCCAGCCGGGTCCGGCCTGAAGACCCTTGGTGGGGACCTCAGGGGAGAGGTCGGCTTGGGGGTGCCACCCAGTTGGCAGGAGGGCGGGGCAAGGTTTGTCAGCAATTTGTCATGATGTTCTGCCTCTGTACCAGCCCAGGGGAGGCTCTGGGGGATGTAGGGGGACCCCCCTCCTGACTGCTGGGGTGTCAGTGGAGCCCCCCACCATAGTAGGCCCCACCATGCGGGTCTCAGGACCCCTTTGCCACAGAAGCGTGGTGACCCTCCCTGCTGGGGGTCCCGCACCCTGTGTGGTCAGCCCGGAGACCCCTCCTGCTCAGAGCGCGATGGTGCCTGCCGCGGCACAGGGCCGGTGCTGGCGGGTCTCCCGGCCTGGGAGCCAGGTCAGCGGAAGGGGCCTCGCTCTTTCCGCGCCTGCAGGAGCATCGGCCTCCTGCCCAGGAGAGGGGGGCCTGGGTCGGTCCCCCAGGTGCCCCGGCCAAGCTGGAGCAGCTTGGAGGAGCAGAGCGGCCGCGTCCCGGGCCCTCTCTGGAGCCCAGACGGGGCCGACCGCCCCTTGTGAGCATTTCGGCGTCCTCGGTGGGGTGTTTCTTCCAAAGACAAATCGCCACTGCCGGAAACAGCCCTGCCCCGGCCAGCATTTCTAGGAAACATCAGACACATTTGTGTTTTTGCCAAACGTTACATGTGCCGTACGTCCCGCAGGGCTGAAAACACTGCATTCATTGGGAGGCAGGAGAAGCAGGCGGCTTTGGGGGCCCCTCGGGGAAGCAGGGTACAGGGTGTGGGTGAGCAACGGCCTCGTGGGACCCAGGCAGAGACGGGGTGCAACCCCCCACCTCCCCCCCCCCAGATCGAGGTGAAGGGAAGAGCAAGACCATCTGTGGGCTCAGCCCGCAGGCAGCCCCAGGAGGAAGCACCAGCTGGGCCGGGAGGGCACGTGGCCTGCCCGAGGCCGGCAGCGCTGAAACCCTGGTCTGTGCGTGCATTGGGTGGTGGCCTGGTGGGGGTCAGCGACGTGGCTCGGGGCGCGGTGACCAGGGGTTTCCTTGGGTCGGGGATGTCCCCAGCACTGCTGCCTTGATGTCCCCGCAGGGCCAGCCTCTGTGGGTGCACAGCCCGGAGCACTGCCCCGTGCCAGGGCCTGCCTGCGGAGCAGTGGCCCCAGCCGCCCCTCCCTTGGGCACCGTGGCTGCTGCTGGGGGCTGGTGTCAGAGAGAGGGGTCAGAGGTCAACGCGGGCGGCAACGCACCGGGAATGGCAGAGCGGCCGAGCCAGCCTGCAGAGCTGCAGCTGGCTGGGGCGGAGCCCAGGAGGCTGCCTGTCCTCAGATCACAGCGGCATCCCTCTGCCCACGCCACAGTCCTCAGGTGTGCTCGGGACCTGCACACCTGGCCGTGCGTTTGCCCACAGTCAGGCCTTTGAGGCACTGACCGCCGTTCCCGGGGAGAAGAGTCCCCCGTCATCCTGGACACTCTTCCGCCGCTGTGTCACGCGGCTGCCCACGTACTTGTTTGTTGTTTCTCCTTTTCCTTAGCGCAGGGTGTAATTTCCGTAGCCTGAGTCAAAGTCTGCAGCTGGCAGCCTTCCGGGGAGGCGGCCCCGCTGCGTGGTTGGCGGTGGGGGCGGGTCCGGTCCCCGGAGGGCCTGGCTGCCCCATGTCCTTCCTCTGACCTTGTGAGACACCCCCACACACACACAGGAGAGCCCTGGGCTCCGGCCGGGACTGACCCGCTCCTGCAGGCTGGGTTCCCTGCAGCCGGGCAGCTGCCCGTGACGGCCCCTCCCAGCCCGGCCTGCCTGTGGGCAGATGGCATTGCCCCCTCCCTCCGGGGCCACCCCGGCACGGGAATGCTCAGGGTCAAGGGTGGCCTGGCCAGCGTCGTGGTGATGGGTGGAGAGGACTCCCTGCCAGCTGCCCCGTTGCTGGCCTGCGCCATGCCCGCTGGGCCAGGGCCCCGGGCCGAGTTAGGGGACCTGGGGGTGACAGGTGACAGCAAGCAGATGCAGTCCTGTGTGGTCAGCTGGTCGGTTGCCTGGAGGACCCTGGGGCTGCCTGGAGGAGGGGTCTGGGCATGATCTTAGCAGAAGGGGCTGTGTGGGCAGGGGAGGACGCCGCCAGCCACAGAACAGCTGCCAGGGACCAGCGGGTGCACCTGCTCTCCTCTTCAGGGGTGGGGACTGCCACCCTGTGCCACCTGCGCCTGCCACCTCCCTGGCATCCGCCCTGTCTCCCTGCTGGCCCAGGTGGGCTGGGGTCCCCACCGTGGTCCCAGGGCCCTCCGCGGGAAGGGGTTGCCGTCGGCGCTCACTGTTCACAGTGAAGGGAAGCTCGAGGCAGCAGCGAGTGGGACTGGGGGGCCGTTCCAGGGAGCAGGTGCCCAGGGGGAGCCGGCCGAGGGGCGCCTCCTGCTCCCTGTGCAGGGCACACGCGGTGGCCCGGCCGGCAGCTGGGGGCCGCCCTCCGTCCCCCGCAGGTGGCAGCTGCTCCTCTTCACTGCCCAGCGTGAGATCCGGCCCCGTCTGTGCTTGTCACTGTGAACATTCGGGGCGTTTTGCAGGCAGGTGGCGCCTTGCATTAAAGGGGTGTGTGCACCTGGAGGTTCCTGGCAGTCCCCCCTCCCGAGACGCCGCCCTGTGCGCCCCTCAGGGAGGCGGCCTTTTCCCCGGGACCCAGGGGACAAGCAGGGGACGAAGGAAGCCAGTGAGACAGTTGGAGTCGGGGTCTGTCTCTGCACCCCGAGCCGTCCCAGAGCCAAGCGTGGACCACGCAGCCCTCCCACCTCCTTCCCACGCCATGGGGTGTCTGTGGCCCGGGGAGCAGGGGGCGTGTCCACGAGGGAGCTGGGGGACTGTGGGGCACGTCTGTGCACCGGTAGTAGCATGTCACGTGTGCCTGTGTCTGGCAAGTCTGAGTGCCTTGTAGACTTAGCGTGTCCACACGTGGGTCACTCCTGTGTGTGGCCCACTCAGTGTGCACCTGCCAGGCTTGTGGTATGTGCACACCTGTGCCTCTTGTGCAGCTGTGTGTGCATCGCATGTACACGTGTGAGCACATGTGTGGGGCGTGCGCCAGGCTGCTGGAGGGCAGAGGACACCCTGAACCCCCGGCACCGACACAGCCTGTGCCCGCCATGCCCAGCAGGTGGGATTCCTCCCCGGCAACAAGGCCCGGGAAGAAACAGAGAGAGGGTCCGACCCATTTCCCAGCCCCACGCCGCCACGTGGCACCTGGGACAGAGACACGGACCCAGCCGGGCTTCAGGGCACAGGGCTCCTCGCAGTCCGTGTCCCCTGCTGTGGAGCGTGGGAATGCGTGGGGGAGCCAGCTCCCCCCTCGGCGATCTGACCCTTTCATTTCCGGGCGTGACCGAGACGGGGCGGCGTTTAATTTCCTGTCTGCCGAGGCAGGCAGCGCGGAGGTCGCCGGCTCGACCGGCTCCGGCGTTTGCGGGCACTTCTGGGCGGGTCCTTCCTGGCGGTGTCCACGTTCCCTCCGAGCGGGACAGCCAGCGTGTGGCCCCGGTGGCTCCGGGTGGGCTGGTGGGGCCGGGCGGCCGCTGGTGTCCGGGACGTGGCCACTCAACCCTCGTCTGTCCCCCCAGGTCAGCTGGCGGCCGGCACCTGTGAGATTGTGACCCTGGACCGCGACAGCAGCCAGCCCCGGAGGACGATCGCCCGGCAGACGGCGCGGTGCGCGTGCAGGAAGGGGCAGATCGCCGGCACCACGAGAGCCCGGCCCGCCTGTGTGGATGGTAAGAGCCACGGCCCCTCCCAGAGCGTCCCCACGGCCTCGGGGCACAGCCTCGGGGTCAGTCCTGTCCTCGCCGGGCGCTGGTGTGACTGCCCCGGGCGGTGTCGGGTTGCTGCCCTGGAGGACCGGCCGCCACGGCTCTCGGCTGACGGCTCTTAGGGTGGCCGGGGTCTCCAGCTGTGCCCAGACGTGGATCCCTGCTCAAGGTCGGCCCTTGAGTGTCGCTAAAGGGAGGTGGCGGCAGAGGGCATCGGCGTGCCGCACACCCAGTGCCCGGTGCCGGCTGCGTCTGTCCCTGTTGGTTTCTGGCCAAGATAGAATCAGCAGCCCCAGTCCCTGCAGTCTGAGCACGGGCAGGAGGGCCCCCCACTGGCTCACGGTGCATTCCGGGACTCCCCAAAGTCAGGCTGCCGAGCGGATGCACCGAGCTTCCTTCCTTGCTGAGTTGACACTCAGAGGGGCCTTGTGGGGGCACCATAGGGGACCGACGTCACCTAGGGGACCCCAGGTGATGTCACGGCTTCTGATGAGTCTGCCCACTGCAGGGGAGGACACCATGCGTGTGCCTCCGTGTGGGGAGCTCGGCCTTAGCCAGGCCGCAGGGGACCAGACGGGCCCAGGGGTCCGGGTGAGACCTGACAACCCCGTGGCCTGCTGTGTCCAGGCAGGGCGTCTGGGACAGGGCCAGGGACAGGCCAGGTGTGGGTGGGAGGACAAGCACTGGACCAGATTAGAGCCCCGTTCAAGCCCCGCCGTGACCAGACCAGGGGCAGACCCCCCCTCCCTGACAGAGACACGGAGCCCCCGTGGGCCAGCAGCCGTGGCCCCGTCTGTCCAGCCGGCCTTGGGGTGGCCGGGCCCACGCAGGGGTGCAGGGCCTGGGTTCCAGGCACAGACAACAGCCCAGGGGAGGGTGCAGGGGAGGGAGGTGCTCCAGGGGTCTACGAGGCCACCTCTCCCGGTGGAGAGAAGCCAGCAGCCCCGAGTGACGGGCGTGGGGTGGGTCTGCTGTGGGGTTCCCTGGAGCCGTGGCCTGGGGTGTCTGAGGCCCTGCAGTGCCGGGGTGGGGCTGGGGGAGGGGCTGGCTGGGCAGATGTGGGGGGGAGGGGCTATATCGCTGGCCAGTAGCCCCTCCAGGCCAGGGTGGACTTGAGGGCTGCATCCCAGGTGTCCTGGTGCAGCAATGGGCGCTGGCATCTCAGGCCAGCCCACGGCTCACGGGCTGCGCACACCCTGGGCTCTTCATCAGGCGGGGCCTGGTGCAGGCGACCGTGTTGATGGGGTCTCGGGGTCGGCTGCCCCCCCCAGGGAGGGCGAGGGACTCCCCAGGGCCACTCAGAGCTGGACGTGGAGCCCGGGTGGGCTTCCTGGTCCTGGTCCTGGTCCTGGTCGGGGGCCTCTCTTTGCCCCCGTGGCCTCTGCACCGGGTTCGGATGTCCAGAGTCAGGTTCTGCGGCCTCTGCCAGGAGCCCGATGTGGGCGGCCTCGCCCGTCTGCCGCGTTCCTGATCGGTGCATGGGGACTGGGAACGGCACCCGCAGCTCGGGCACCGAGGGTGGGCAGGGAAAGGACAGCGTGTGGTATGTGCACAGGGCCCGGGCGTGGTGCGCGCTAGGTGGCTCTGGCCACATTGGGAGTGCGGATGCCAAACTCACCTCTAGTAAGCCGGGGACGTCCAGTGCGGCCAGCACTGCCCCAAAGCCAGAAGGGCCCCTGGGGGGCCAGCTGAGCCCCTGAGTTGAGGGGCGGTTGGGGGATGGGGGCGGACTGTGTCCCTGGGCTCCCCAGTGTCAGCACTGAGCATGTCCAGCTCCACGTGGGGCACGGCTGGGTGGTGAGTCTGCTCTGCCGGGGCCCTGCAGGGAGGCGCTCGGGCTCTGGGCTGGAGAGAGCAGGCCCTGCCCAGGCCTCGGCCGTCACCACTCCCGGCCCCCAGGAGCCTGCTCAGGACAGGCCCATGACGGGGCCCTCTGTGACGACCCCTGCTCAGGACAGGCCCATAGCAGGGCCCTCCGTGACGACCCCTGCTCAGGACAGGCCCATCTCGGGGGGGCCCCCGTGAAGACGCCGGGTGCCACAAAATTTTGAAGCTCAAAAGTGTTTACTTTGATCAAGTCCAACGTATCTGTTTTTCCTGTTGCTGCTGCCGCTGTGTTTGGTGCCGTACCTAAGACTCTTTTGCCAAATGCAAGGTCCCGAAGATTTACCTGTTTTCTTCTAAGAGTTTTGCAGTTTTTACCTCTTAACATTTAGGTAACATTTAGGTAACCTCTTAACGTTTAGCGGTTAACAAAGCTCCTCCCATTCCGGAGCCGGGAGGAGGGACCCTGGAGGGCCCAGCGGGCTCCCAGCAGACCTTCCCCTCGCTGCCCTCCTGGGACCCAGGCCACCCACCACCCACCACCCTGCCGCCAGTCCCGGGCATCGCGGGCGGGGGCTGCAGTCTTGGAGACGGAGGGGAGGAGGCTGAGCTTGCTGTGGGGCACGGTGAGGCCTCTGTGCCTTTCGAAGACCCGGAGCGGGCGTCTGTCCTCATGTGAACACTGGTCAGTCCGCACCCCTGCAAGGTACTGACCGACTGCCCAGCCGGGCTTGCGGTCACCCGGCCCGCGCCCCGCCCTGACACCGGGCACCCGGCCGGCGGCCATCTCGCTTCCCGGGAGCCAAATTAATTCCGGCCACGTCCGCCTCCTCCCGGCTCCGGAACGGGAAGAGCTCACCCGCGGCGGGCCTGCCTGCCTCCCCCTGACGTTGATTGATTCTCCCCGGGACCCTGCGCGGCGCGGGCAGCCCCAGCCCCGTCCTCCTTCCCATCGCCTAAGCGCCAGCCTGCGGGGAGGGCCGGGGCCGGGGCCGGTGGCTAATTAAGTCTGGGTCTGCGCGTCCGAAACCCCGTCCGCTCCCCGCCACCCAGGAGCCCCCCGCTTCCCGGGAGCCGAGTCCCAGAGACCCAAATTAAAACCTCGCCGTTTTCAGGGGAGGCCAAACAAATTCGTTAGCTGGCTCTTTTTTGCACAGCGGGCATTTTCCAGGCTGCCATCTAATTTAATTTTTGCTGTTCTATTTTCTTGCTCTGCGTGCATAATAAGTTTCCTCGCATTCGAGTTGTGTTTGCTAAAGAGAAAACTTGTGCCGTGCTGGGCTGGGCTGGGATTTGATGTGAATGTGTTTGGACGGGGATGGTTCAGGCAGACCCTCCCAGGCTCGGTGAAGACAGGAGCTCCAAGTCCTGGAGCAAACCTGCCTCTGTCGACTTGCTTAGTGCCTGTCTGTGCAGTAGCTCACTCATTCATTTATGCAAGTGGGGTGCATGCCCGTAGCTGCGGGGCAGATGAACTGTTAAAATGCCCAGGGCACGGAGCCACACAGCCCTGCAGGCGCTGGGGTGAAGACTGGGGCCCCAGAGTGCAGGCCCTTCTTCCTACAAGGGCATCTGCAGTCGTGCATCCACAAGGGGGCATTTGAGCAGGGTGTTGAGGGATGAAGAGGAGCTCACCAGAAAAGCTGTATTTTGTGACAGGAGGGGGCTGGCAGTGAGAGGGGAGCTTCCCTGTTGTTGTCTCTGAGCCGGGTGCACCCTCCTCAGACTACTCGGCAGAGCCCTGAGCCGGTGCTCCGGCGTGGCGGTCCATCCTACTTACAGAGCCACGAGGGAAAGAGATTCAGAAACAAGCCGCTAGCTGTGGGGCTTTCCATCCTGACACACCAGGGTCAAGAAGAAGCCTCTCCGCGGGGCTGCCCTTGGTCGCGGGCGCCAGGGTCGCGGGCGCCAGGGTCAGGACCTTCCTTGTCCTTACCTGCAGCTGCCGGCCAGCTCCCGCCCGGCACACGGCAGGTGACCAGGTCATGGCACAGGGGCGTCTCCCACACGCCGAGTTCTCAGGCAGCTCCTTTAGAAGGAAGCGAAGTAAGGCCGGCAACGCAGTGCCCGGGGCTGGGTGCAGGCGGATATTCGGTCTCAGAGGGGAGGGTTGTTGTGAGCAGAACGGCCCCCGAGCCATGGCGGGTGTTGGGGAGAAGGGTGGTGGCAGTGCGTCTCAGGCATAAGGCGCCCTGGGGAGGGCCAGGCTGGGGTCAGGGCACGGCACAGACCCACCGTGGGCCCTCGGTGGCCATGGGGTGTGGAGGGCAGGTGGGACTGGCATGCAGGGCCAGGCCTCCCTTCCCAGCGTGGCCGGCAGCTCGCGGATCAGGAGGCTCGTTCAGGGCCCTGCCCAGCCCCTCCTGGCTGCTGTGGTGACCTGTGTCACCTTCCCGTGAGCCCACCTGCCTGCTAGGCCAGCGTGCCTGTCTGCACGTCCAGGTTGGCACAGGTGACATGCCTTCCAGGGCAGACAGGCAGGCACGGCGGCCCCAGGGCAGAGATCCCGGAGTCCGGCTCCGTGTGCTGCCTCTGCACCCAGCAGGTGCCTGTGGGCCGAGCCGGTGTCTTTGCCCAGGAATTGGGGATAGCGGCCGAACGCCGCGAGCTCCCGATGGGGCGAGATGCGGCGCGCACAGGCCCTTGCTAACCTGACCCCTCTGTACCCAACTCGGGGAGCCCCCCTGTCTTTTCCCATTAACGTAGTTCTTAGCAACTCATGAGACACTTTTGTGCCAGGTGTGGCCTTGGGGGATTCCACCGGGGACGTGTGGAGCCGGGGCGCGTGTTTGGCGCTGGCCCCATCGCAAGTGCCGCAGTTCTAGATGAGGATGGGGACCCCCTTCGGGGGGAGTCGAGTTCCAGAAGGGCCCGGGATGGGGCCGTAAGAGGCGAGGAACCGAGAGTCTAGAAACAGACCCTGGAAACCCACACGCAGAAGGATAAAGACACCCCCGACCTCTGACCGCGCGCAAAACGTTAATTCCAAACGGAGCAAAGACCTAAATGTTAAGAGGTAAAACCGCAGAACTCTTAGAAGAAAACAGGTAAACCTTTGGGGCCTTGGATTTTGCAAAAAGAGTCTTAGGTACGGCACCAAAAGCAGTAGCAGCAACAGGAAAAACAGATACGTTGGACTT